CAGCCATATACACAGATAGACAAGAGTTCGCATAACACACCAGCGTTTGGGAGTCAGTCTTTAGGAGAGAAGTCTAGGGCTCCTTAAATTTTGTTAAGTTTGGGCGCCAAAAACACTTGGCCCCGTCAGTCCAGAAGGTCATGGCATTTCCTCCGATACTCTCCCTTTTACTGTCCGCGACTGTTCTTCCACACACAACTACTCAAAAAACAGTGCTGGACTTTCTACTATACGCAACCTGCGGATGGGTCCGATAGTATTCAGCTATACTTCTGATCGCAAGTATAAGCTTATGTAGCAACGTTAGAGTGTTTTTAAGGAGTATATCGGCGATCGGCGGACAGCTTTGATAGGGTTTGGTAATAGCATAAATTGCTACATAGATTTCCCTTCATGTCGCTATGACCTGGACCCAATAAAGTTTAACAAACTGACATATATCCCGCAAGGCTGTTTTGCAGTCGTTACTTAATTGCTTTTAGGGCCGCTTGCCTATAGACAAATATTGTTATAAGTGCTGATTTAGTAATATGTACATAGTTCTTTGGCTAACTCAGCTGCCTTCATGATTGTTTGGATATCTGCTTTAAAATCGTGGCAATTTTCGAAGAGACTAAGTAAGAGAGAAGAAAGAAACTTAGATATATTATAATCCGGAGCCAGATTTAAGACCTTCTCCTATGGAGAAAAGGCAATTCCGGTTACGGGTGGCCAGCCCGAAGTTTTGAACTTTTTCCTGCGGGCAGATGACAACTCCGGCTACAAGACAAAATCTCTTTTTAGTAAGAATAGTACTTGTGAGTGGGTGGCGTAGGGGATGATAGATACCAAGCAACGGCTTTGATTGGCTTTAACATGGCGAAGCCCAGGCTTATCTTGGTCCCTCTTTCATCTCAATTGTGGACACTGACCTCCCCGCGGTGCCACCTGGGGAGCTATTCTCATCACCCGATGAAATAGTGAGCTAATATGTGCCGCGAGTTCACCCATAAGAACTATAAAAAAATGGGTTGAGGCGTCGGGTTAGTTGCCCACTCTCGGAAAACCCAACCTACTATGAAAAAGCAAAGAAAAAGAAAACCAAACCCCCATAATGTTGACGACCCCCGCAAACGTATAAAGGACCACGATCTGCGAATCTGCACTTGGAATGTGCCCACGCTATACAGAACAGGGGCAGTGTTCGCTTTGGCGGATATACTTAAGAAGTACAAAGCCGATATTATTGCCTTACAGGAAATGCGATGGAAAGGGACAGGCGTAAGTAAATCAGACGATTACGCCCTGTATTATAGCTGCCATGAAACGAGACATGAATTTGGCTGCGGATTTATGGTTAACAGGAGAATAAAAGACCTTGCCTCTAGATTCACTCCAGTAGATGAGCGAATTGCTATAATCCGTATAAAAGCGAAGTTCTTTTACATCAGTCTAATTTGCGCCCATGCTCCGACCGAAGATAAAGATGAACAGACCAAAGATATATTTTATGAGCGCCTAGAAACAGCATATGACCGTTGCCCTGGCCATGACATTAAAATTCTGCTAGGAGATTTTAATGCAAAAATCGGAAGGGAAAATATCTTTGGCCCCACCGTCGGAAAATTCAGCCTTCATGAAGAAACTTCCGACAATGGCATGAGGTTGATCGACTTCGCGGCAGCAAAAAACATGGTAGTTAGCAGCACCAGATTCAAGCATCTCGATATACACAAGGCCACCTGGATTTCTCCTGATCAAGTAACGAGAAATCAAATTGATCATGTTGTGATAGACGGAAGGCATGCATCCAGTGTGTTAGACGTCCGATCGATCCGAGGAGCGAATATCGATTCGGACCATTACCTTGTGGCAGCCAAGGTACGCACCCGTCTAAATGTTGCAGCAAAGGTGCGATCTAATACAACACGGAAACTCGACGTCGAAAAGCTGCAAACACAACAGGTAGCCGAGGCCTACTCCGCTCAACTTACCCATCTGCTTGAAGAAAGCACTTCTTGTCCCGATAATAGTATAGAAACACAATGGCAAAGAATTGCCCACTCCCTACAAACTGCAGCAAAAAGAACAATTGGGTACCAAAAACCACCACCAAGAAACCCATGGTACGATCAGGAGTGTCGTAATGCTACTGATGTGAAAAACGCAGCGTATAGGGCAACCCTGCAGACAGTAGCAACACGTAACGTGATGGAGAATTATCGGGAGAAAAGGAGAGAGGAGAAACGTGTTTTCAGAAAAAAGAAGAAAGAACAAGAAAAACGTGAGCGTGAGCAAATCGAGATGTACAGGAGTCAGAATGAAGTCCGGAAATTTTACCAACGAGTAAAACACCAAACCGAAGGCTTTGGTGCAGGCACATCCTCCTGTAGAGATGAAGAAGGAAACCTGGTGACAGATACAGACAGCGTGTTGAGGATCTGGAAGGAGCATTTCGAAAAGCTACTAGTATCAAATAGTGGCGATGAAGAAGATACCCCAGAACCAATAGGAGATGATGGTATAGAGTGTATACCACCTAGCCAAGATGAGGTCATAAAAGCAATTAATCGGCTCAAGAACAACAAAGCAGCAGGAGCCGATGGGTTACCAGCCGAACTATTCAAGACTGGTGGCCAGATGCTGGTCAGGAGCATGCACCAGCTGATTAACACAATTTGGCTAGATGAATGCATGCCCAATGATTGGAACCTCAGCATCCTGTGTCCCGTGCACAAAAAAGGAGACAAGACGATATGTGCCAACTATAGAGGAATAAGTCTCCTTCCCATCGCATATAAAGTGCTATCCAGTGTGCTGTGTGAACGATTGAAGCCAATGGTCAATGACATCATCGGACCATACCAATGCGGCTTCAGACCTGGCAAATCGACCATTGACCAGATTTTCACTCTGCGCCAAATCCTGGAAAAGACCCACGAAAAACATATCGACACATATCACCTATTTGTCGACTATAAAGCCGCATTCGACAGTCCTATCCGTTCAGAGGTGTTTAAAGCCATGTCTGCGTTCGGCATTCCTGCAAAATTAATACGGCTATGCAGGATAACTTTAAGTGGCACAAGGTCAGCCGTTAAAGTAGGAAAGGACCTATCGGAGCCCTTCAATACCGAACGAGGATTCAGACAAGGTGACAGTTTGTCGTGTGATCTTTTTAACATCCTACTGGAAAAGGTCATACGAGACGCAAAGGTGAACAGAAATGGCACTCTGTACACCAAACAACACCAGTTACTCGCCTACGCCGATGACATCGATATAATGGGTCGAACATTGCGAGCGGTAACAGCCACCTTTGAACAAATTGAAAAGGAGTCTGCCAAAGTGGGTCTGGCAGTAAACGGCGAGAAGACCAAGCTGATGGTATCAACGCGCAAGACGTCCAGTAGACTCGGACCAACTGTGGAACTTGAGAACTACAGCTTCGAGGTAGTTAAAGACTTTATATACCTTGGTACCGCCATAAATAAAACGAATGATATCAGTTTTGAAATTCGGAGAAGGATTGTGATGGCCAACAGATGCTACTATGGTCTAAGTAAGCAGTTTAGAAACAAGGCCACCTCTCGCCAGACCAAACTCACACTTTACAAGACGCTGATACTACCCGTGCTATTATATGGATCAGAAGCATGGGTACTTGCGCAAGCAGATGAGGCAGCGCTTGGGGTGTTTGAGAGAAAAATTCTCCGAAAGATCTACGGGCCGATCTGCGTCGACGGTGAATATCGGCGTCGAATGAACCACGAGCTCTACAATTTATACGCAGACATCGACATAGTCAGTCGTATTGAGCTGCAGCGACTACGGTGGCTAGGCCATGTTGTGCGGATGAATGAAGATGCCCCAGCTCAAAAGGCATATAAAAATGAGCCTACGGATGGTTCCCGTAGAAGGGGAAGGCCACGAATTAGATGGAAAGACCAAGTAGAAAACAACATCTTGGAACGTGGTCTTCCAAATTGGTGGACTTGCGCACAAGACCGACGCGCTTGGAAATCTTTTTTAAGCTCGGCTTATGGAACAACCGTTCTGTAACAAGCCAGCTAAGTAAGTAAGTAAGTACTTGTGAGTGGCTGGCACTCGGCCAAGGATTTAAGATTTCCTCCTATGAACGGATGCCAACTTTGGCCATAATACTTTTAGTCTTTATTTAAACTTATTTGACTTTCTAAATCTTCATCAATATTAAATATGAAAGGTACTTACCGACCAATGTCTCACGAAGTATGAATTAAAAATAAAAGGAATCTACATATTAGACATCCGCACTTCAGTCGCTGTTATCCATATTGCTTTAGAAAATTTAAATAGGTCTACCCATATTGAATCCCCTGATAAAATATTACATTTACATTTTTTCAACCAGAATTTATACAACTTTAAATTGAACTTTAAAGGCCCATATCTACGAAAATACGGAGTCCCGCAAGAACAATTTAATCAAGGCCCCAAGGACTACATATGATAAAATTATCAATAAATAATATAAAAACTTAAAAAATTATTTTTGTGATCTATAAATTGTATAAAATTGCATAAAATGTTATTTAATGTAAACGTAGCATTAAAATCTTCCCCTTCTCCAACAATACAACTCTGTTGCCGCCGTTTCCTTAACATCTGTTCGCAACAGCTGATTGCACTGCAATGTGTGTGCGTGCCCCCTGCATCTTGCACGAACACAACAAATTCTGATTCTGCTTCTATTGTGCTGCATTTGTTTTTGTTTTAATACTGCTGGCCCCGTACTTTTTTTTGGGGGTTCGCGATTATCAAAGAGGCCACTCAAGTCATAATCAAAATTCAAAGTGAAAAAAACGACGATTTGGCCTCAGCCGCAACCACAACAACAACAGTCTAGCCTTAGTAATTTTTGCAATAACCCCAAAAAACTAAAAGAAATGTCCAGCAATTGTTAAAAGTGTAAAACACAAGTAGCCTTCAAAAATTCAATTCCTGTTAAAGAAAGTGCAAATCCCAACAACAACCACAAAATGTTAAAAAGTCTAAAGATTTTCCAAAGAAAATATCACCTTGCTGAACTATTGGCCAAAGTTACCTGCTGTATATTGTTGATATATTCCATACTACCACATCGATTTGCTTCCCATTATGATTACTTGAGTCCCGAAGAAATACCCAACGCCCTGGTATCGCAGGTGACAACAAATATCTCGCAACAACACATGGAGGAGTGTAGCTATGAGGAAATTATCGAAGAGAATCGTTTCATGTACACACCCCAGTACAGTGATGAGGTGGTGAAGCCGGAAGAAATCTTGCCGGGTGGTGAATATTTTCCAGAAGACTGTCGCGCCAAGTATAGCTCAGCTATAATAGTGCCTTATAGGCAGCGAGAGCAGCAATTGCATAAATTTCTCTCGTACATGCATAACTATTTGCGGTTGCAAAAGGTCCACTATCGGATCTTTCTGGTGGAGCAGTACGACCAAAAGCCCTTCAACCGGGCGAAGTTGTTTAATATTGGCTCAATGATAGCAGCGGAATTTGAATTTCCATGTTTGATATTGCATGATGTGGATCTGATGCCGCTGAATTTGGGTAGCCTCTACGCCTGTACCGAGCTGCCAAGGCATATGTGTGCCGCATTGGATATGTGGCGTTTCCATTTACCCTACCGTGGCCTGTTTGGTGGTGTTGTAGCCATACGAACACAACAATTCCGCACTATCAACGGTATGTCGAATATGTACGAAGGTTGGGGTGGTGAAGATGATGATTTGTTTGAGCGGCTAAAATCTCGGAATATTGATATATGCCGTTTTGCACCACATCTCAATGAATACACAATGCTACGACATAAACCTGAAAAGAAGAATGAAAATCGTGTAACATTGCTGAGATCGGGAGCGCTGCGTTACAATACGGATGGTCTCAACTCGTTGGTGTACACGGAGAAAGATCGTCGTATTCATAGTTTATTTACACATATTTTGGTGCAGACATAAGGGAGTGATGTGGAGTGGATCCGAAGATGGAGATGAAGGAGGAGTAAGTTTTTTAAGTAATACTTAGGGCAATTAAAGACAGATTGAGGTGGGGTGGGTAACGGTGCGGGTGGTAATTTTTGGTTTGGTTTATTTTAGTTTGTATTTTTAATTATTTCGTAATTATGCACATAATTATATTAAGAAAAATGTTCAAATTAAATACCAAAACCTATTCTGCCTATGGAAACAAATTTCTGCAAGGCATACCTCAGAGAACATTTACAATTTTACACACAAATCTTCTATAAGAGGAACTCCATACTTCCACGATTTTTTAGGATTTCCATAATACCCAAACTTTTTTTATTAAATTTCCTTTTGGGACTTCCATTCAGGAACTTGTAAAAATGGATTGAATTTAGATTTCTTATTATAAAGACTTTATCTTTGGAATTTATTGGTTGTGCCCAATACGAATTGAGACGACTGCACGCACCATCCTGAACGTAATTGGGCTAAAACTACTCTGGTTTGTCTGGGCAGGTGACGTTCTTCAGCTGATATGGAAATTTATTGGTATTCTCATTGGATAGAAAATCTCCCTTCCAAAATTGATCAATTATAGTCCACTTTTTGGGTAGCCATTTTTTCTAAATTGACTGTAATTTTATATTTTGAATTCTCATTGAGTACCAAATCTTCCTACCAAAAATGATCAACAATGCTTCATGTTTTCGTGTAGCACACATTATTCGGAATTTTGCAACCGATTCGGCTCTAATTTGATATTTTCTAATTCGATATCGGTCACATTTCTTCACCGAAGTGGCTGTACATTGGCATTAATGGTGGAACGGTGAAAAACATGAAAATGTCCCATTTTCGATATTTTTATGGCATTCCGGGGTTATTGAAGAAAATATTCAATGTTTTATTTTTTCAAAATATCGAAAAAGGTATTTATCTCCCTTTAACATTATCCATAATTAAATCCATGTCAAAATAATTATCTCAACTTGTTTATTAAACGAATTGAGCGATATGCGAAACATCGACTGCCCCTTAATGTTACAGATATGTATGTTTAATAATAGATAAGCCCCATGTGATTGAAAATGACGTCAAAAATCACACGTTTGCCATAGTTCTTCTATTTAATTGGCACTATTACGTATTGTTTGTCTAAAATTGAATTTTGTATAGACAGGAAAACATTCATCAATGTTCAATGGAATATATAAAATTCGGCGGAGTCAAAATTACCAACATTCCGAAAATTCTTTTTGCGACAAAAATTGACAGGAAATTGAAGACAAGACAGAATTTAAAAATGTTATTAATATCCGGAAACAATGCAGTAACTAAAATTTTTGATAACATTGATATACTCATACCTAAGTTCACCCAAAATGGAACGAGTTTGACTGAATTCCTAACGGTTAGGATGACCCGACATATATTTCCAGTCTATTCAGAGTCTTCTCATGAGGTAATCGACGATTGTCATATAGACCCCTTGCTGATCGAAGTGCCTTTCTTGGAATGTAATCAAATGTTCTTATTTCTTGATCCAGGTGGTGTCACCCAGAATTTCTAGTTGTCACCTTCGAGGACGAGCTAAATACAGTCTTAATATACGAACTGACAAACTGTAAGGAGTCTGTCTATAAAAGAGTCTGAAGGCAGGTTTTATGGACGAGCTGTAGGGAATCTTTATTGAGGATCTGAAGGAAGTGTTTACAAAAGATTTGAAAGGAGTATTTATAGACGAGGTGAAAGGGGTCTTTATGAGGCAGAACTGAGGCATGGATCCTTTCTAGACGAACTGAAGTATGGCTTTATAGGCGAGCTGAAAAACAGGGAGTCTTTGTAGATGAATTAAATGCCAGCGACCTCTTTTTGACAAGTTTAATGACAGGAAATATTGATAGATAAGTTGTAGGCAAGGCATCTCAATCGATTGCAAAGGTCTGTTTCCAAATTTTTGCACTTATTTTTTAAAATGCGAACAAAAAAATCTTCATGTTAGAAACATGGGACACCTATAGTGTCATATACCAATAGATTCGTATTGAGGAGCCCATTAAGGATATTGAGTGACCTTGAGAAAACACTCTCAGTTCTTATGTTAAGGATTATTATTCAACGGAAAAAATAAACGTCGATTTTTAACTGTTAAAAATGATTGTTATTTTTTCCGTTAAAAATAAAACTCTTAGGGATTTTTATTTTTTCTGTCAAAAATTAAAGTCTTTTTGGGATTTTTATTTTTTCCGTTTTCTAAAAGTCTTTTTACGTAAAGAAGCTTATACAACTTGTAATCAGTTATAAAATTACAATTTATAAATCACTGTCCTTATTACAATAAGTGCACACATAAGTAATAAAGATCAAAGGTAAAAAATATTTGTTATTAAATTTTAAAAAATAGCCTAGTGTACCAAATCATGAATATTAATTAAAGAATCATTCCTCTGACTATTAGGTCAAAAGTTATATAACTGGTACCAAACTCTATATGTTTAATTACGTAAAAAGTGTTTTATTTCCAGACGGAAAAAATAAAACTCCCAAAAAGACTTTTATTTTCTGACAAAAAAATAAAAATCCCAAAAAGACTTTTATTTTTGACGGAAAATATAAAAATTCCAAAAAGACTTTTATTCTTGACGAAAAAATAAAAATCCTTAAAAGAGTTTTATTTTTAACGGAAAAAATAACAATAATTTTTAACAGTCCACGTTTATTTTTTCCGTTAAAAAATAAATAATTAAAGTGGATTTTTTTATTTAGGCCACAAAATAACAGTTATTTTTTACCTGATTTGATATAACATATAACCGTTACGGTCCCTGAATTTTTGACATGGAGTGACCGCAACGCTTCTTTCTGGCTTTAAGTAAATTAAACAGTGTGACCTGATGGTGAACTCCGACACAATTTTAATTCACTAAATACCTGCCACTCTATTGTTTACCCAACGGTTGTAGATCCAAAAATAAATTTAGAAGTGATTTTGGGGTGCATCTGTTGCATTGGCTGTCTTCTAGATTAGAGGATTAAATGTAAAATTAGATCATACTATAGTCAAGTAAATCGAATTAATAGCTTTGATAACAATGACCGATGGATTTTTCATGCATTATTTACAAAAAAGTGTCCTCTTTTGAAGCATTGCAAAACAGAGATTACTGATAGAAATCATATTGTATGTGTCAAGATTTAAGGACAGCAATATGTCTATGTTCTTGGGGATAAGTGTTTATTTTGTTGAGTGTCCGTAATAGATTGAAAACTTTTAAAACCCAAAATAACAAATATAGGTACCCCAATATTAAATAAATCTCGTAAGATTCGTATACCTATTTAATTGGCTAAATTTCACTTTTAGATATTTTTCACGTCGTTAAATCTCCTGCAAGTGATAAATCTCGCTTATAGACTTCACAAATCAATATTTTCTCAGTGTTGCCAATGATAGGAATGTATTTTCATTACTTCGAACATATTTATTATTTATGTTCCTCATCTTACTATTGTATTTATTAAGTATTATAGTTATGATATTAACATATTGTTTTAAACATCAAACAAATCTTGTGAACATTTCCGACATGCATTATCGGGATATTGTAACTAAAACAAAACCAAAATTAGCACCCAAAAACGTACCCACCTCACAGACACTCAGCGTTTATCATCTTAAAAGTATTTTTATTATTAATTAACTATAAAACTTATATTAATTTTTTTCTAACAACTTCCCCTTTTTTAAGCTAAACTGCTAAGAAATGCAACAACAAACAAATAAACAACAATTTTCTAGTCTGCTCTAATAATAACACACACGCCTACTTATTGTAAATAGACTATTATATACATATTTATAAAAACAAAATTAAATTTAGATAATTAAAAAATATTTAAGTATTTTTTCCATTTCATAAGAATTTATTAAAAATGGAAACTCAACTCAAGTGAAAGAAGCATTAAACGAATTTTTTATAATATAATTATTATAATTTATGTATAAGATCAATTAAAAAAAATGATATGAAAATCTCTTTTGTTTTCCTTTCCTCTTTTATTTGTTGTTTTGTTTGTTTTGCTTTTGGTGTTTGAGGGTTATAAAGTACCCCCTCAAATCCTAGTTAGACAGAGTGTGGTCTAGTGTAGTAATCGTCTAGTGGAACCAATTTAGTGCTAAACAAAACCAAATAACGCTTTAATATCATTAATAATAATAATGTAATGATTTATATTTAAATGGCAAAACGTAGGCTAGTTAATTATTTTTAGATAAACAAAAAAAAAAAAAAACAAATTATTATAAACCAGTAACAACAACAACAATTATTTATAAACAAATTTTTGTAGCAATGCTATGCATGCTAGAGGCTTTTTAAATTGTTTTAAATTTAAAAAGTCAAAACCATTTTTTTAATTATAAAAAATAAACCACAAACACAGGCATACATAATATATTTATATATAGCATAATGAAATTATTAGAGTAAAAACATTTTTAAGCCTATAGTTAATATTTTTTTCAATTATTTCAATAAAAATACAAATAAGGTTTTTTTTAATGCAACAACAATATGAAGAAGAATAACATAAAACCCTCTTTATTACAAATTACACAAATTTGCTAAATAAAAACACACAGATACACACACACCAATAACACTCCAAAAGGCAAACGAAGGCAATAAATAGTAATGAAAACAAAATTAAAAACTTTATTGCATTTTTTATTTTACGGGTCAGTAGAAGCGGAATTTTACAGATCCAAGCTGAAGGGGTTCTTTATAGACGAGCTGAAGCTCAGGGAGTCTTCATAGACGAGGTGAAGCTCAGGGAGTCTTCATAGACGAGGTGAAGATCAGGGAGTCTTCATAGACGAGGTGAAGATCAGGGAGTCTTCATAGACGAGGTGAAGCTCAGGGAGTCTTCATAGACAAGCTGATTCTTAGGGAGTTTTTATAGACGAGCTGATTCTTAGGGAGTTTTTATAGACGAGCTGAAGTCTAAGATGTCTCTATAACCTGCTGAAGTTTAGTATTAAGTAGTATTTATAAAGAAGCTGAAACTCAGGGAGTATTTATAGATGAACTGAAGATCAGGAAGTCTTCCTAGACGACCTGAAGCCCAGGGAGTTTTTATAGAGGCGCTACAGCTCAGGGAGTGTTTATAGAAAAGCTGAAGTTCAGGGAGTCTATAATGTAGACGAGCTGAAGCTCAGGAAGCCTTTGTAGACGAGTTGAAGCTCAGGGATCCTTTATATACGGGCTGAAGCCTAACCTGCTGAAGTTTAGGTAGTATTTATAAAGAAGCTGAAGCTCAGTGAGTATTTATAGATGAACTGAAGATAAGGAAGTCTTCCTAGACGAGCTGAAGCCCAGGGAGTCTATAAGCGTGCTTAAGTTCAAGTAGTCTTTATAGACAGGCTGAGGCTCAGGGAGTTTGTATAGACGAGCTGAAGATAAGGGAACTTTGCAGGTGAGCTGAAGCTATGAAGTCTCTATAACATGCTGAAGTTTAGGGAGTCTTTATAAAGGAGCTGAAGCTCAGGGAGTTTTTATAGACGCGCTGATGCTCAGGGAGTCCTTATAGACGAGCTGAAGTTCAGGGAGCCTTTATAGATGAGCTGAAGCTCTGATAGCCTTTATAGACGAGCTGAAGCTCTGATAGTCTATATAGACGAGCTGATGCCCTTGGAGTCTTTATAGACGAGCTGAAGATAAGGGAGTTTTACAGACGAGCTGAAGCCTAAGAAGTCTCTATAACGTGCTGGAGTTTAGGTAGTATTTATAAAGAAGCTGAATCTCAGGGAGTAGAAGAGCTGAAGCTCAGAAAGTTTTCATAGACGAGCTGAAGCCCAGGGAGTTTTTATAGACTAGCTGAAGTTCAGGCAATCGTTAAAGACGAGCTGAAGATCGGGTAGTATTTATGGACGAGCTGAAGGAGTTGGAGTTCTTATGCAGAAGAAGTGTAGTCGAATTCGTATACTGACTAACGAAATGTTCGGTAAGTACCCTTCCTTTAAATAGTTAATAAAAATTCCTTTCATTTCTCCGAAAACGTATATTTTCTTTATTTGTTTTTATTTTATATATTTAATTGTATTAGATGTACGATTAAAATATAATACATTTTTTATTTAAATTTATTTGTAATTTGTTAATTATTTTTAGCTACACCTACTATAAAACGCATAAAACTTTTATTCTAATTTTTTGTTGTTTATTTTCAATAATGCATAAAGATTTGTTTTGTTGTTACGAGATAAATGAGAGTATAGTTGTTGTTAGTTTTATTTATTTTTTTTAAAACAATTAACTAAATAAATTTACTATCGATCTGTGATATTGTTGCATAACTGAGTTCTAAGTGAAAAGAAAAAATATTCAGCAAATATATGAGATCAATAAAATGTTTTTGTTAGTAATTTTTTATATCGAGAATATAATATAAATCCTTTTTTACAGAAATACCTGAAGATTATTTGAAAGGCATATCAAATATTCATTTTTCAATTAATTCCCATAGAATATTTACCGAATATTTACCGAATATTTCTATAAATTTCCCGATAAGGTGGTTTTTGTTGTCTCCACATTTGAAGTATTTCGAAAAGTAGTTTAATTAGCATCTTTTCTTCATCAGAAGTCTATCTACTCCAATTGAATTAGTAGCTATTCTACTTGATATTCAAATGCAGTTCCTCTATAATAACATCGGACTCAACAGGCATTCGGATAGGTCTGCTGGAATATTTTCTGAACCATTCCGATTTTCAACTGAAAAATCGTTTTCCAAAATATTATCGTTATTTAGTTCCTCTATAATAACATTAGATTCAAAAGGCATTCGAAATAGAGTATCTGCTACAACATTATCTGTTATATTGGAAAATCGTATGCCTGGAGTTGAAGAGATTATCTCGCGAGACTTCCGCTTAAATCCATCATGATGGTGAAGTTCATATGCTTTTGCCGCGAAAACTACTGCCAAGCACACCTTTTCAATGACAGAATAATGTCTCTGGCCTGAATTCAATATTTGAGAATAAAAAGAGAGTGGGTTCTCTCCGCCACTATCATTCTTTTGGAAGATCACTGCTCCTATTTCAAATTCTGAGGCGTCGCGTTGAAAAACTCTCTTTAGGTTTGGAAAGGATTGCATTGCTTTTGGGGTCATCATTATGAAGCTTTTTTTAAGCTTTTTCTTGAGCTCAATATGCCAGAAGGCATACTTCAGATCGACACTACTGATATAATGGTATGAAGTATTGGGCTTAATATCCCATCGATATTCTGCAAGGATACGTATCTGTCACCGTTAGGACGGCATGTTTTCTCGCATCGAGGTAGAGACGGTTTTTATTCGATTTTCGTACTTTGAAAGAGCACTGTGCCTATTCCATATTCCGAAGCGTCACATTGAATAAAGAACTCTCTGCTAAAATCGGACGGTACTGATGTGAGAGAGTGTGTTTTAGGATAGGGACGGATTGCAATGTTTTTGGGTTCATCATTATGAACGTTTGCATCTTTTTTTAAAGTGTCCGTAGAAATAGAGGCGAAATTTTTTATAAATCTCCCGTACAAAGAGAACTTCGCACTTGACGTTTTCGGTGGTAGTATCCTTTTAATAACGCTTTTTAAGGACTAGTCTTCAACATTCCGCTACCAATTATGAATCCAAGATATTTCAACTCTCGGAAACAGAACAGCAGAATTGTTAAAGTTGCTCTTTGCAAGCATTTTGCTACTTCTTCTAATATGTTTAAGTGGTTTTCAAAGTCGTCTGCTATGATTAGGAGATCATCTATGTATATAAACACATTGGATTTCAGTCGTCCTGGTATAACCTTATCCATTAATCTACATAATTTTTGCACTGCATTGCAAAGGCCAAACGGAATGACACCGAATTGATGCAGTGGTTGACCTGGTCGACTGCAAAGGCTGTATATCGCTTTCCTTTTTCCTCCAGTTCAATTTGCCACGAAGCATACTTCAAGTCGATACTACTGATATAAAGGTTTAATTCAATGGGCTTAACATACCAACGATATTCTGCAAGGGGCAGGCATTTTCACTGTTAGAGCGTTAAGTTTTCTCGCATCGAAGCAGAAGCCATTCGATTTTCGTACTCGTAACTCTCAGAGCGAGCATATTATCTATCTCGTTGTACACAAATTCAATTTCAGCACCGTCTACCAATTTAATAGCATTTTTCTCAATAGGCATTCGAGATAGGGTGTCGGTTACATAATTTTTAATGAACCTTTCCGATGTGTTCAATTAAAAAATCGTATGCATGGACTTGAAGTGACCAACTTGGAAATCTTCCGATTAAATCGTTTAAGAACATCAGCGGTATATTCTTTGCTTCTTCCTCCAGCACAGGTATAACTTATTTCGACACTATTCATATAATGGGTTTGATCGATTCGCCTTAATATGCCATCAATATTCTGCAAGGGATACGCATACTTCACTGTTAGAACGTTAAGTTTTCTCCCATCGGAGGAGAAGCCATTCGATTTTCGTACTCGTAACTCTCAGAGCGAGTATATTATCTATTTCGTTGTACACGATTTCCTCGGCGGCTAGTGATCCTTGACAGGTAACAAAGGCTACAAATTCTAGTTTCATACAACCCAAACAAATATTTCTCTACAATTTTTCCAACATCCTGAACGGAAAAAAGTCTTAAATAAAAAGTCTTTAACTTTTCTTCATCCAGAGGTATTTTCGCATTTGTCCAATAAGGAATACCTTCTGATCCTTTTCACCCTTCCTAAATTGTATATTTTCTCACGAACTCAGTTATGAATTTTGATCGAAAGTAAACTAAAATAACGAGAAGAAAAAATAGGAAAAATACACGTGCGCCTAAATGTTTCGTTTAAATATTGTCAAGCATTTCGTGATGCTTTCTATATCGTTTATATTTTTTTAATTTGATAGTTTCTTAATAATAGTGTATATTTAATTAAATCCCAAAGAAAAAAGGTAATACATAATTTCACTCGACATTCAGCTTTCATTTTCTCTGTGTGGCACATTATCCAAAAAAATGAAAAAGAAGGATTTCTTTGCCCAAAAAACAAAATCTTATAAAAAAAGATCCAGTCATGAGATAAACTTATACAAGAAAAATTAAAAAAATAAATACATATTATTTAAATACAAACAAAATAACAAATGGAATACAAATATGTGTAGGGAAGGAGGGAAATAATTATTTTACGAGGATCGAGTAATTACACACATATGAGGAGGAGGGAGGAATGTTTGTTTTTTGACACAAGACTTGTTTACTTTTTTTCTGATATAGAGGAGGACAATCAATCACGTTAATCCATTACTATTTGGCCTTTCTTCATCTTAATTCAAAAAACTTAAAATATCCTGCTGACTTAAGGTATTCAAATTTCGACTATCCTGTGATTGTTGATTTGTTGCATTCATTGTTGATTGTGGCATCAGTGGTGTCGTTGACATCGATGCCGACGAATTCATCGACATGGCATTCATTGAATTCATGGAATTATTGACACCCCCCATTAAGGGTGTATTGGAATTTGTTTTCATTGCATTGTAGCCCGGTGGATAGATATAATCCACAGTGGGTCTTTGTAGCGTAAATGAATTGGCTGTGGTCGACGAAGAATTAGACATGGGTTGTTTATTTTGTTGTGATTGCTTGTTGCCGCCGAATGGATCCAAATCATCCAATGAAGAGAAATTATTATTGGGTGTGGTAGTTGGGGCAACAACAGCTGTTGTCATATTCGAACTAGATGGTGGTGGTAATTGATGATTCATTACCAATGGATTTGCACTATGCCATGAATTTTGTTGCCAATCATTGTTGCTGTTATTGCTATTACCAGTTGTTGGACTATATGGATTTGCCGGCAATATGGAATTTGTTGGCGGCTTGGCCAAGGTATTGTTGCCAATACCACTAAGATTGGAATTCATTAGTGAGGATAATATATCCGGTTTGGTGTTGGTTGTATTATGGGAGATCCTAAAAAAGAAAATAAAAGTATTAAAAAAAGCATTTTAAGTTTTTGAAGAACCTACTTCAATTGTTCTCGGGGTTTATTGTTTTGTTGATTTGTGGTCACAGTTGAAGAAGTAGAATTGTTGGTTTTATTGGCTGGCTGACTAATTGAAAATCCCGAAAACATATCGTCATCTGTCGATGGTGATGTCACTTTGCCCGTTGAAGATTTCTCCAATTCAGTGGCCAAAATTTCGGCAGCATCTTTGGGTCTAGAATAAAAAATAAATAAAAATAGAAATATAAATAGAATACAAATTTTGAGACTTTCAGACAACGAGACATTCAGTCTTTATAGACGAGCTGAAGGGAGTCTTTATGGACGAGCTGAAGGGAGTCTTTATAGACGAGCTAAAGGGAGTCTTTATAGACGAGCTAAAGGGAGTCTTTATAGACGAGCTGAAGGTCAGGGAGTCTTTATAGACGAGCTGAAGGTCAGGGAGTCTTTATAGACGAGCTGAAGGTCAGGGAGTCTTTATAGACGAGCTGAAGGACAGGGAGTCTTTATAGACGAGCTGAAGGTCAGGGAGTCTTTATATACGAGCTGAAGGTCAGGGAGTCTTTATAGACGAGCTGAGGGTCAGGGAGTCTTTATAGACGAGCGGAAGACCAGACAGTGTATATAGATGAGCTGAGTCTTTATTGAAAAGCTGAAGGCCATGGAGTCTTTATAGGCGAGCTGAAGGCCATGGAGTCTATATGGACGAGCTGAAGAAAAAAAAGAGTCTTTGTAGACGAACTGAAGATAGCAAAACGTCAACCCTACTACAGAAAGACATTCTGATCTTCTCGTCCTCTATATGGAGACCTTCTGGTCTTCTATAAGAAGACATTCAAGACTCCTATAAAAAGAGCTTCTGGTCTTCTATGGGTAGAAATTCATTTCTCCTATGAGAAGAGCAGATTAAAAAGAAATTCTAATAGAAGACGTACAGTTCTCCTATTAAGAAGGCCTCTGGTCTCATATTACGAAGACCTTCTGGTCTTTTATAAGAAGACCTACAGTTCTCCTATTAAGAAGGCCTCCTGATCTCATATCAAGAAGACCTTCTGGTCTTTTATAAGAAGACCTTCAGATTTACTATGAGAAGACCTTGTGGTCTCTTATTAAGAAGACATTTTGATATTATATATGAAGACATTATGACTTTCTTCTATGTAATGACCTTTTGGGATTTGCTCTACAAGCACGTAGTCTTATCAACAAAGCTAGGTTCACAAAAATACACACATTATACGCACAAATAATCATCAATATTGACTTACTTATTATCTCTTTGTATTGTTGATAGCTGTTCCAATTTTTCTCTTTGTTCTTTTTCTACACGAGCAAACATTTCCTTGATCAAGGCAACAATTGTATTGAATTGAGCAATAGTTAGACCATTTTCAACACTCAAGGGGATTAAAAATGGTATGCATTTGTGGGCCATAACATCTTTGGTGATGCCCAGTTTGGTGTTGGTCATGGCAATTTTATAGATACCTAAAAAAGGAAAACAATATTTTTTTTTAATTAAGTAAAAAAGTGAGAGAAGATAATACCCACCAATAATGGCCATAATAATAGCTGGTTCACGACTTTGTATTTGTTGCAGAAATGGTAAGATTTCATCCAACACCAACCATTTATCTAAATTTTCCAACAGTTTGCCAATCGATATAAGGCAATTCACTTTAACCGATACATTGGTCGATATTAAACACAGCTTTTTAATTCGTGGTATAACAGAATTTTTCATTGCATTATAATCGATGAGTGTCGAGAATGTTGGCAATACATTTAGACACAATTCTTGTATTTGCGGCATATCACATTCCAACGAACGATAGAGTAACGGTAGCACATGCAATTTCACCTCTTCGGCTGGTGTTAATTTTAAAAGTAAATCCATTTTTTGCATAAATATCAAGAGAATTTGTATGGGATCGGTGAGTTTAAATATTGGTTTTAGGTGGGGTAGGATATGGTCACAGTATTCTTTTTGGCTACTCATTTCGGCAATGAGCAAAACATTGGGTAGTACGAATGGGATCATGGGCGAATTGACAAATTCTTTAACCAAATATGGTAAGATCGAATGGAGATTAACGCGGTGCGGTAGTGTAGGTATTATTTGGGGTAGACCTTTATAGAATTTGGATTTTTGTAAATTATCCCATTGATAGAGGGAATCTAAATAGCTGAGGGTTTTAACGCCAACATCATGGAAATAGGTTACCTGCAAATATAATGAAGAAAGGAAAGTAATTTTAGATATAGAATTGAATATAATTTAAAGAAATAAATACGATATAAAAGCAGACATATAGGTATGGAATTGAAAGAATAGTTTTGAAAGAGCATCTAGGCCTATGCGAGGATTTTGTACTGCCCTTTGCTAGACTCCCTCTGGTAGATTATGCATAAAACCTTATTCCGTAAAATATTCCACTACTGAGATTTATTTTTAAAAATATAGACTACCCTTTGCTGGGGTAGCATGTTCTCCGCGCAATATTATTCCACTACTGAGATTTATTTTTTTTAATAAAATAGTATTTTTCCTATTTGTATCACTCACCTCTCTTAAATCATGCAATTTGGGTCTTAAATGTGGACTGGGATGTAGCAATGCCTTTAAACTTTCCGTCAATTCACTGGGTACCGCATTCATGGGTGGATACTTACGTTGATTTAAATCATTGGCATGCCTTCGGAATGCACTATAATCTGAACCGAATAATTTCAATGGTTTACCAGCATAGATGGTAAATATTAGAATACCCAAGGAGAACAAATCACTATCCGTCGAATTGATATTATTCAAAGCAATTTCAGGTGCCGTATATTCCAAACTGGGTTGTGCCAACATATGCATCGATGTCGAATACTCCTTGCATGGCCAATAGGGTTTACCATCCGGTTGTGGTTGATTGGCAACACAAAAATCAAAACCAAACAATTTCCAGCTACGATTCTTATTGATGACAATCGTTTCGGCGCAAATATTACGATGAACAATTTTGGCATCATTGTGAAGGAATTGCAAACCATCGAACAGTTGAAGGAGACCATGGCGTATTTCGACATCGTAAAGCTTCTTCTCCGCCCTCACCTGATCTCCCACCACATTAGCTAGGGAGGCGAAAACGGGTTCTGTTGCAAATGCCAATGAGTCACGACTTTCCTCCAAAGGATGTTGCACCGTCAGCACATGGGGATGGCGTATTTTTGTTAGCTGTTGTACACCACGACGCAATGTTTCCAATATAGCCTCTCGATCCTCCTTAGACCATCGATCCAGCGACCGTTTTTCGAATACAAACACCGATACTTCCTGTTTCGTGGATTTCTTATACCCGTTATAGACTTTCCACAGCAGACCCACCCCAGCCGTGCACACTTGATCTAATACTTCGTATTCACGGGTAACCATATTCCCGGGGAGGGCATTGGACAGTTGTGACACTGTTGTGTGTACAGTTGAATAGAATTTGTTAATAACATCCATCCTGTTTTCGTTTTTTTCTCACTTCCAGATGTTAAATTTTTTTTAATTGGGGTTTTTGGGTTAATTTGTTGTTGTATTTTTTCTTTTTGTTTTCGTTATGTTTATTGCACTTTAGTTACAGGTTTTTTGGGAGGTTTTCTGATAAGGATACTAGCAATACAATTTTCTTTTTTCTAATCCTTAATATTTTCCTAGATTTTCTAGTATTTTTCTCCCCTTTCTTTTTTCTTTCTGTTTTGCGTTTAGGGATGTGAAGGTCGATATTTGACTAATCGCCTTTAGGTGTTGAATAGTATAGAGGGGAGTAGACACAATTAGTTTTGAATGACAATGGCAAAATTTTCAACATTGACGTGTCGGTGTTCGAAAATACGACAACTGAAATGTTGTTGAAGCTGTGTTATTTAAACAATTTGGGTGTATTTTTTATGGCCATAGACATCGTTTTTAGCCGTTTTGTTATGATATTGATTTCTTCAAACTGCATATGCTAAAAAAGTTCGCAGAATTCCAAATTTTAATAAAACTTTATTAGAACACAATAAAAAAGAATTTTTGTATTTAAGTACAAAGCTTTTCATATTAGGAATATACGAAATAAATCGTAGCAATGGGTTTGACAGTTTTTTTGTGATAATCAGTTGACCTGTTCGAATTGAGTCTGAATGTACTGAATATGAAAAAACTAGATTTTAGCCACTGTCATAAAGCGGATTTTCAAAACACATATATTTGATCTGAACCTAGTCATTGATTAAGGGCGTTTTTTTAATCAGCGCTTAGATTAAAAAAAATGATCGAGATTTAAAATCACAAGCGTGGATTTTAAAATATATGTTGTAGGACCTTTTGAACCATAAGCAAACATCTTTAAACGCATTTTTTGTATGACCTTCCGAACCATACATTTCGGTCTTGTGCGCATCTTCATCCATTCTTACAAGATGGCCCAATATTATTTGAAAGATCTTTCAGGACCATAACCTTAGATTTTTAATATTTTTTGTTGGAAATTATTTTGGAGGAACTTCACGACTATTAATGCGTTTTTTAAAGATGTAAAGCTGTCTTATGACAGAACGGTTATTCATAAGCCGAATTAAAAAAAGATTTCCAGGAGCGTCGGTGTTGTGCGCATCTCATCTAATTTGAAAGACCATTTTCCGAGATGTTGTGTTCTACTTGATCGTTCCATCAAATTCGCGGCTTTCCTGTTCTTCGTGAACCATCACTTGGCTCGCGTTTATATGGCTTTTGAGCTGGGACATCTTCCGGGGAATTTTTCTCTCAAACACTCCAGGTGCTGTCTCATCTGCTTGCCCAAGTACCCATGCTTCAGATCCATACAACAGCACGGGTAATATCAGCGTCTTGTAGAGCGTGAGTTTGGTCTGACGGATTTCAAATCTGATGTTGTTAGTTTTGTTTATGGCGGTACCGAGGTATATAAAATCGTTCACTACCTCGAAGCTGAAATTTTCAAGTTTATTGGACTTTTACGCGTTGATACCATCAGCTTGGTCTTTTCGCCATTTACTGCCAGTCCCACTTTTGCAGACTCCTTCTCAATTCGTTCAAAGGTGGATGTTTACGCTCGCAATGTTAGACCCATTACCCAAGTTTTGTTTTTTCTGCAGTTTGGAGTGGGCAATTCTTTGCCATTGTGCTTCTATAATATTATCGGGACAAGAAGTGCTTTCGTCAAGCAGGTGGGTAAGTTGAGCGGAGTGGACCTCGGCTGCCTGTTGTGTTTGCAGCTTTTCGACGTTGAGCATTCGTGTTGTGTTAGATCGCGCCTTTGCTGCAACATTAAGACGAGTGCGAACCTTGGCTGCTACAAGGTAGTGGTACGAATTGATATTCGCTCCTCGGATCGATCGAACATCTAATACACTGGATGAATGCCTTCCGTCTATTACAACATAATCAATTTGATTTTTCGTTGCTTGATCAGGAGAAATCCAGGTGGCCTTGGGTATATCGACTCACTATTTCAACGGGTGATGAAAATAGCTACCCCAGGTGACACCGCGAGGAGGCTAGTGTCCTCAATTGAGATAAAAGAGGGACCAATATAGGCCTGGGCTTCGCCATGTTAAAGCCAACCAGAGCCGTTGCTTGGTATCTATCATCCCCTACGAAACCCTGCCATTTAGGCCTATTAATAGGCCTTAATTTGATATTTAATGGTATTTTCATCACCTAATCGGATTTCAATTTCTTTCAAGGCATATTTTACAAGTAAACTATTATGATTTGTTCAAAATTAAAGGCGTTTTGACATCGTGAGAAAATATCAGTCGGTTTTCCTGGACATAACCCTGAAAAGATTAAGAAATTGACACCAAAACGACATTTATATTAGAATTTTTACCGGATTAACCTAATCTATGAGGATTTAATTGACATGTATGAAATGGAATTGACAATTGAAACCCACAGGGTTAACGGAATCCGGTATAAACGTACTACAAGTTTAAATTATAATATTGTCAAAAACTGATATTAGTTTTTGATGTATTAAAAATGGCAATGCTGGAGTTTGGTTTTCTGGGACACAAACCCTACAACAGTCTAACTAAGAGAACGAAATATAGATGGCGCTAGGAAACAAATGACAAGCACTGACTTTGGCCGTATGTCATAGAAACATTTTATAGCTCTGCTTTATCGAAATATTCGTTTTAGATGCCAAATATTTATTTGGACCGTATCCGATTCAGACAATTCAATTTGAAAGGAGGAAATATATCTTACCAATTTTAAATCAGATTCGAAGAAGGGGAATATAGATCCACACCTTCAGGTAATTTATTTCAAATCTCTCGGTATCTTTAGAGATTTTGTTGTGTATAAAAAGCTCTGTCCGATCAAACTTAACGACATTTTAAATTGTTTTTATAAAAACAAGGAATTTTCTGTTATCACGTATTCCCCTTAAACACATGTAATATGTCACGTGACGCGGTATGTACCTGAGCATTTTCTCATGAGGTGATTGTACTTCATAAATATGCGATTAAAATCACGACGGAGTTTAACTCCTTTATGGAAATTTTCTAAAGACTCTGAGTCATAACGAACGATATCCGTCGTATACAAATATGCACATCGCGAGAGAGGTATATTAAACAAGGATGAGTTCTGGTTAAACAAAAAGCCTGATCATCGTTTATTGTTCCCTGTGTTGGAGGGTTTGTTACTACACTTGACGGCATGATCGGTCAGTCAATACAGTTTGGTGTAAAGTACATTTGTTTGCTGTGTTCAAATTTGACAACGCGACTGGAATTTTTAATTAATTTCGAACAAAAAATAAAAGTGCCCACTCACATGCTTCAGAAGAACAGGGAACAGAATTGTCTGGGGTTTTAAAAAGAAATCGAAAAAAATCTGATTGAGTTATATGCGGTTTTTTTGTGTGAATTCCCGTTGGTGGTATTTTTATCTTCTTTGTCACTACATTTGACGAATGATCGATATATGCCTGTCCACTTTAACCACGTTCAGTTGTTTTTGTGGCAAAAGAAACAAGTGGAGGTAGAGGAAGGTTAATTTTTTATTAGGGATATTACACTAATAAAAAATTAATATAGAAAGCTAATATGCTAATATTAGCAATTTTTTGTGCGTAATTATATTATTAGGTGAGTCATAAAAATAATATGACAGATTGGGAAGAGTTTTAGGATGAATATGACAGGATGCGATTCAGCTCTTCTTTTTTGAACACCTGTTGGAGGGTGAAAAACATATTTGCAAAATATAAGTCCCAATATAGGTCCATCTAATTTTATGTCTTTTAATTATTCAAGCCTAATTTTCGGTCCAAATCGAGATGTACAGGAGTCATAATGAAGTCCGAAAATTCTACCAACGGGTAAAACACCAAACCGAAGGCTTTGGTGCAGGCACATCCTCCTGTAGAGATAAAGAAGGAAACCTGGTGACAGATACAGACAGCGTGCATACAGACAGCGTGATGAGGATGGAAGGAGCATTTTGAAAAACTTCTGGTATCAAATAGTAGCAGTTAAGTAGATACCCCAGAACCAATAATAGATGACGGTATAGAGTGTATACAACCTAGCCAAAATGAAGTCAAAATAGTAATAAATCGGCTGAAGAATAATAAAACAGCAGGTGCCGATGGGCTACAAGCCGAACTACTCAAGACTGGTGGTCAGATGCTGATAAGGAGCATGCACCAGCTGATTAGTACAATTTGGCTAGAAGAATGCATGCTCAATGATTTGAATCTCAGCATCATATGTCTCGTGTACAAAAAAGGAGACAAGACGATATTTGCCAACTATAGAGAATTAAGTATCCTTCCCATCGCATATAAAGCGTACTGTGTGAACAACTGAAGCCAATGGTCAATGACATTATTGGACGATACCAATGCGGCTTCAGACCTGGCAAATCCACCATTGACCAGATTTTCACTCTGCGCCAAATCCTGGAAAAAAACCCAACGAAAAACACATTCCACCTATATTCGTTCAGAGGGGTTTAAAACCATATCTGCGTTTGGCATTCCTGCGAAATTATTTTGGCAATGCAGGATAACTTTAACTGGCACAAGATCAGCAGTTAAAGTCGGAAAGGACCTCTCGGAGCCCTTTAATACCGAACGAGGATTCAGACAAGGTGACAGTTTGTCGTGTGACCTTTTTAACATTCTGCTGTAAAAGGTCATACGAGAGGCAAAAGTGAACAGATATGGCACTCTGTACACCAAACAACACATGTTAATCGCCTACGCCGATGACATCGACATAATGGGTAGAACACTGAGAGCGGTAACAGCCACCTTTGAACAAATTGAGAAGGAGTCTGCCAAAGTGGGTCTGGCAGTAAACGGCGAGAAGACCATGCTGATGGTATCAACGCGCAAGACGTCCTTGGACCAACTGTGGAACTTGAGAACTACATCTTCGAGACGGTCAAAGATTTTATATACCTTCGTACCGCCATAAACAAAACGAATGACATCA